CTTTTTTTTTTTTTTTTTAAGTCAGGGTCTTCTCTTGCCTCCAGCTGAGAGGCCGGTCCGCAGGGGCCAAATACACAGGGTTCCGATGTGAAGTGAGCTGTTTCACTCCTTCACCCCTCCGTCCTATCAACCCCTCACTCCATCCTGCCTCGGTTCTCTGTGCACTGCTGTCTCGCCATCATGCAGGCATGCGACTCCTCTCCACACACCCTGGCCCTCCCATGATGAACCGCATCTTCCACTCGAGAAAAATAAAGCAATCAACGGCCTGAACTAGGGAGGGTCAAGGGCCGGGTCCGCGAGGTCCCAGAAGACATGACTTTTAGAGGCTGGAGGATCGGGATCCTGGTGCAGATGGGGGGTGGAGGAGACCCGGGGGAGACGCTGGAGGAGGGAAGACTGGACGGGGAGGGAGGAGGGGATTCCCAGCCCCAGCCTGGTCCGCCCGGCTCCAGCAAAACCGGCTGTTTCCTGCCCTCCGTGACCCCCCACCCCGAGCAGGACCCAGGCAGGGCAAATGAGGAAGGGCAGGGGTGTGGGGAGCACCTCTTGTGGCAGGAAGATAAGTACGCTGGGACAAGAGGTCATCGCAGGGCTGGCTGTCCGCTGGGGTGGGGGTGAGGGAGCCTGGCCGCCCCTCAAGCATCCTGGACTCCTCCCTCCCTCTCTCTCGGCTCCTCAGAGCCTCCAAACGCTGTCCCCGCCAGTAATCTTCTGGGTCTAAGGCCTTTCTTTCCCACCCTGGCAGAGGCCGACTCCCGCAGCTGCACCTCCGGCCCAAGGCACCCACCCCGTGACCCGCAGGGTAGGTGCCCTGAAGTGGAAGAGAGGCTGGAAGGAGGAGCGCGGCTTTCCTGGACCCTCCCCTCTAACTGATGGGGGTGGGGGCGCTGGCAATTAGAGGAAGGGCCCCTCCCAGCCATCCCGAGGGCCCCCAGGAGCCAGACAGGAAGCAGCCTCAGGAAAGACAGCGCGGCGGCCCCAGCCTCAGCCTCGGGGGTCAGGGCAGCCGGCGGCAGAGCCCACGCCCCGCCCCGAATCGCGAGAGGGAGCGTGAGGAGGCCGGCTTGGAGATCGCCCCGGACCCCTCGCCCGCTCGGACACACCCACCTTTATGTACCCCTGCTTCTGCGTCCTGCGTTCCTCCCCAGCGCAGCCCGGGGCGCGCCCGCTCCGCGCGTGTTTCGGCACCGGGAAAGTTAGAACAAAGTCACGAACGCGAAGTTAGGCTTCAGACTGGGAAAGGAAGCCACCCCCGCTGCGCCGCCGGGGGCGCGCA